AAAGAAAAGCTTTTGCTTCCTTACTTTCCCTTTCTCTGTCTCCCTCTAGAACATGGACCCTATAGCAAAAATTACTAAAAACAAAAACAAAACAGGCTCTTATCAAAGCCCCCCCTGAAAAAAAAAAAAAAAAGCCACCCCTGGATCCCAGCAGTCACAGAAAGAAAAGCCTTGATCAGATTACAACCAACAGCCTCCTAAAAAAATGCCTTGATAGTTTTCCAGTGCTTGTCAAGGACATAGTTCCTTCCTAAACAAGACCAAGCCAATAGCGCCCAGCTGCAGGCGACTAGAGGAGAGTGAGAGATCGAGCTGAGCTCGTGTTTCTGATCCTGCTGCCAAGACAGGCGTCAGGGTGGGTGGGTTCTCATTTTCAGAAACTGGAGAGCTGTGTGACTGTGAGGAAGTCATCTAGCCTCTCCTGGCTTTCTCTTCCTCTTCTGAATAACTGGGATGAGGGAATACAACATTTTTGAGATCTCTTCCAGTCATTAACTTCTTATCTGTTTCCAATACAAGTAACATATCCACCAAATCAGCTAAGAAAAACAGAAAGGTGCTCCCTTCTTAACTTAAACATACACACACACACACACACACACACACACACACATATACAGGAAAGGCACCGCCTGGTGGTGTAGTCAGAAACAGTCTGTACCACAGCACTGGAAGCCATCCATGCACTGCAGCTGGGACTCCCAGATCAGCATGGAAACACAGCAGATGTTCCCCAAACCAGGGGAGCTGAGCGATGTAGCAGGGGACTGTGGGTTCCGAGGCTCGATTCAGAGTGCTGTTCCATTTCACCCTCGTCAGCACACAGACACACTTTCATGACAAAAGTAAACAGCCCACCCCCACAAGGTCTAGAAATGGAAATGAGGATAGGAGACATGATGTTCACCTTGTTCTATCTTCCCCACACTGACATACTCTGAGAACATTATTTCCTGCAACATATTCATTTGATTAATTATATACTGAAACTTGCAGAAGCAAATAATAAAGCTAATAAAAACAACTACAAATACCAGGACTGTCAGCCAAGACTCTGAATGAAGGAATTGGTATTACTTAAAATCAGACACTCACCTGAGTATTTCTAGTGAGCCTGTTCTTGGGTTATTCACACAGAAAGAAGTCAACGAAGCTTCATGTACACTTCACAAAAACGCGGGAATTTTTTTTTTTGAATCAAGTAGTTTAGAAACTTAAAATGCCCAAACTACAAACAATTAGTATGTCAGCTTATGAACACCGAAATCTAGGCTCAGCCTCAAAATCTCATAAGGCTGGGACTATGGTCTCAACTGAAGCCCGACTGAGGGAAGGTGGGCTTCCCGCGTCATCAGTTCATGCGGGTTCTGGCAGGACTCAGTGTGACGTGGGAGCCTGGGCTCCTCTTTGTCTGTGGCCTTGGCACTCCTGGAGTTCTCTGCACTGTGGCCTCCACTCCGGGTGCTCACAGCATTAATGCGTGCTTCCCGAACTCGAGAAACAGGAAAGAGGGAGAGACTGAGTCCAAGGGTGGGAACAGAGAAGACACCAAGAGCCAAATGCCAGCTCTGCCAACTCCAATCGTGGGAGTTGTCACGGGACTGACTATCCTGTCACCCTAGATTCCATACGTGGAAATCCTAACCCCCAATGCGATGGCATGAGGTGATGGGGCGTCTGGGAGGTGGTTAAGTCATGAGGGTGCGTGCTACCTCAGCAGCAGGATTATTGGCCCTCAAATAGACACTCGGAGCACACTCTCTCCCTCTGCGCCACGGCAGGAGCCACCCTGAAGCCTGAGGTCTGAAACTCTAGAGGGAGCCAGGCCAAAACCTGACCGTGCCAGCACCCAAACCTCAGGCTTCCAGCCTCCAGCAACGTGAGGAGGAGATTTCTGTTGTGCACAAGTTTATACAGACTAAATCGCTTGTTTTTCTGAACAAAGAAGCGATAGCAAGTCATTCTTGCTGTCATCCGCTGGTCAGAAGCGAGTGTGGTCAGCCACTACGGAGGCAGCACCCCCTACGGAACAGCCGAGTCCCATTTTCAGATTCTAAACCTAATTGAGAAGACATTACAAGGATTTTTGTCAGGGATAACATTGTCCAAGTTGCGTTTAACTTTAAAACTGCTGCTTGTGCAGAGCAGAAAATCAGGTCCGGGATGTAAGCCCTTTTCCCAGATTACACTCTTAGGCCTCAGTCCCCTGGGCAGCCGCAGTTTAGGCTGCCTCCCTCCTCTCTCTGCAATTCTGTCATCTCTTAAATTGGTGCATTGTCTACACATGACACCCAACTATGAACTTCCTGAGTTTAGTCTCACTTTCACCGATGAGCTTCCCAGGGAGCGGTGGCTAGCAAGAAGCCCACTGTGCATGTGGGGAGACTGGGGAAGCCTGAAAGATACAATGGCTTACCTAGGGACATGGAAATCACTAAAAAACATGGTTCCACAGTGGACATGGAAATCACTAAAAAACATGGTTCCAAAGTCAGCTCTAACTTCTCAAACTGGGGCCGTGTTCCCACGAGGGGCCAAGCGGCATTACTGTGCGGTTATGGGGTTCGTATGGGGGAGGGGGAGCAGTCCAAAGCCCAGAGCGGCCCCTGGGGAGGTATTATCAGAGGGATGGACCCAGGTCATGGAGTCCTAACAAAGTGACCTCACTTCCTCGGCGACAGGCCCGACAGAACTTAGAACTCTGGTCCACCCCCCGGCTAGCCCTAGCCAGTTCAGTTGATGGGAAGTGCTTGAGAGGGCAAGATGTTTTCTTGCTGCTCTTCAGTGTGACCATGCTCTCCCCCCAAAGGAAGCAAGAGGAAGAGTCTTCCCCGGAGACCAGCCCTCACTGAGGCTCAACTGGGCAGCCCCGCGGCCAGTCCCCAGCCTCACGTGTGTACGTGGGGACGGTGGGAGAAGGGGCACGGGTGGGGGGGGGGGCTGGTCCGCAGCAGTACCAGGTCCCTAGATATTGGAATGGGGCAAGGTCTGCCCTGCTGATACCTGACATCACGGCTGGCAGGACAGCAGAGTGATTGTTAAGACCAATTTTGTCTACCCACATGTTCCTCCCAAGACCACGGGCTGTGATCTGGTTTACTCCCACAGAGGTCTGTGCAGAGGCTCCTACTACTGTACACCTGATCAGGGGGTAGAACTGTTCATGGGCAAGGCCCCTCTGGGGACCCCCAGAACCAGAAAGACTGCTGACCCCTGCCAGCCCGCTACCAGGCACTCTCTTTGCAGAGCTCTGCAGAGGAGACGGAACAAGTGTTCAACGTGTCCAACTACACCTTCCCTCTAGGCAGAGGACAGTTTCACCATGGCGACGACCACAACCACTGCTGGTCAGGGGTGAGAGCGGGTACAAAAAGCGTCCACAGAAACAAACTCGTGTTGACCAGGGCTAATCCTGAGTCCAGACCCGAACATAAGGATGCCCTGGGGCTGTCCTAGGGCTCTCCCACGTGGGCCACACACAGTCCCTTCCCCACAGGAATCTGACCTCGGACAAGCTTAGTTACCGGTCAAGTCTCTGATCACACACTCATAGGAACACCAGAGGCGACACCTGCGTCACGCTCTTGTGTCCCATGAGGACGACACCCGCTCGCATGCCCCTGCTGTTGCTGCTGTTGGACCTGTGACAGGGCCATGCAGGCAACACAAGCTGGTAAGGATGCTGCTTCCCATTCTAAGGCAGGGCCTAGACTGGGAAGAAACTGAGGCAAGGCCCAGTTTACGAGCTCTCCCTTGTGTCCTTGAACTGGCCGGTATTCAATTTCTCTGCCGTGAGTTTTACTGTTATTACGGTACCCTGCAAGGGTAAAACATCACCCCCAACCATTGCAATAAAGCCAATTAGTGATCTTGTAGGAATGTGGTTCCCTAAGACTGACATGAGGACCAGGAAGTTTAAGACTCCCCCACCTGTCTGTTTTTAAGCCAAAATTAACATATGCCCCCGTGTTGGCTCGGGCTGCCATTGCACAGGGCTGCAGGCTGGATGGCTCTCGGCATATCATTTTCCTCGTGATTCTCAGGGCCAGGAATCAGTGTCAAGGGCTGGTTCTCCACAGCTCACAATACACCTGAGGAAACATTGAAGACACTAATTGTTCAGTCATCCCCTGTCCCTCACGGAAATATCTCAAGTTTCTGCTTCTTTACCAAGGACACTCGGACCTATCCCAGCAGGGCGGGTTCCTGGTCTACACACACCCAAGTTTTCAAGGGTTCCTGCTGCTGTCACTGATCTGAGTCCCTCCTTTCCCTCAGAATGGAAAGAAGTCCATGTCTGGCCTGTGGGAGGCCTGCACTCTGCGGACCCTCCAGGCAGGCAAAAGGCACACTCGGATGGACTTCGTGGCACCCACCGTCCAGTTCTCCTCCATGTCTTATGTTGCCAAGTTCCTGGCTTACACGTGGGACTTCACAAGCGTCCCCCAGTTCCTGGACCGGACCTTTAGTGGGTGAGCACACGTCTGCTTCAGGCCACATTGCTGACTGCCAACTACCAGCTGTGCCTGGGAGAGTGAACGTTTCCTCACATCTGGCCCCTAGAATGGGCTTGGCAGAGGAGTGCCCTCCTAGGGATTTTGTATGCACTAAGTGGCACAAAATATGCTCAGCCGGTCCTCGTTGCACAGCGCTTAGACATGGGGTACTGGAGCCAGATACCACGTGGCCTACTGAGGTGGGAATAAGTGCCCAGATGTTTAGGAGAACACACTGGGTGTGCTGGTGTGTCCGGGTGCGTGTATGTCTCAGCCTAAAGGCTGATAGGATAAAGCAATGGAAAGAAAAGATCTGTCACGGTGTGACCGCAACCCATGGATGGATGCTTTCTGCTCCATTCCCACCCCGACCTCCTGCAGGCCCACCTGTTAGCTCGGGCTGCCATCGCACAGGGCCGCAGGCTGGATGGCTCTCGGCATATCATTTTCCTCGTGATTCTCAGGGCCAGGAATCAGTGTCAAGGGCTAGTTCTCCACAGCTCACAATACACCTGAGGAAACAATGAAGACACTAATTGTTCAGTCATCCCTTGTCCCTCACGGAAATATCTCCTCTCAAGTTTCTGCTTCTTCACCAAGGACACTCGGACCCACCCAGTGCACAAATCCCAGCAGGGCGGGTTCCTGGTCTACACACACCCAAGTTTTCAAGAGTTCCTGCTGTTGTCACTGACCGGAGTCCCTCCTTTCCCTCAGAATGGAAAGAAGTCCATGTCTGGCCTGCGGGAGGCCTGCACTCTGCGGACCCTCCAGGCAGGCAAAAGGCACACTCGGATGGACTTCGTGGCACCCACCGTCCAGTTCTCCTCCATGTCTTATGTTGCCAAGTTCCTGGCTTACACGTGGGACTTCACAAGCGTCCCCCAGTTCCTGGACCGGACCTTTAGTGGGTGAGCACACGTCTGCTTCAGGCCACATTGCTGACTGCCAACTACCAGCTGTGCCTGGGAGAGTGAACGTTTCCTCACATCTGGCCCCTAGAATGGGCTTGGCAGAGGAGCGCCCTCCTAGGGATTTTGTATGACTAAGTGGTACAAAATATGCTCAGCCGGTCCTTGTGGCACAGCGCTTAGACATGGGGTACTGGAGCCAGATACCACGTGGCCTATTGAGGTGGGAATAAGTGCCCAGACATTTAGGAGAACACACTGGGTATGCTGGTGTGTCTGGGTGTGTGTATGTCTCAGCCTAAAGGCTGATAGGATAAAGCAATGGAAAGAAAAGATCTGTCACGGTGTGACCGCAACCCATGGATGGATGCTTTCTCTGTGTCTGTCTCTCTGGTGAGACCCAACCCAAAGCAAGTAAAAACGAGAAGGAAAAAAAAAAAAAGAAGAAGACCTGACAAGGGGCCGCCTGAGCTCAGACTCTCAGACTGTGATGAGGAAAGTGGAGATGCTCTGGTGCTCACACGGACTGTTCTTCCCTCCACGTGACTGAAGGAGCTCCAGTCTCAGGTCTCAGAAGCCTGTGCTCCTGTAGCTCCAAAAAGCAAATGGGAAGCAAACCTGTTCTTCCTTTTCTAAAGCACATTTCAGATTGCTCTAGCTCATCTTGGATTTGGTATAGGCCCAACCAGGGTCCATGCGAGCTCGGACTGAGGCCCAGGCTCACGCAGATAACGGGGACGTTCCAGTGGAAATTCATTCGCACCGCACATCTGTCTTAAGCACTCACTTTGGGCATCATTTTTCTTTACCCTGGGCATGACTCAGTGAATGACAGAAACCAAGACCCTAGGGACCCAATTCTAGCCAGGGAGTCAGACTCGAATCAGGCCCTGACCTCTTGAATGTCAGGTTTGCTGCCATCATGGCATCCTGCTTGTACACGTGCACTTTCCATATTCCACTTGGGGGGGTGGGGCTCAGGACCCCGTCCAAGTGGGGGAATGTGATGTCAAAAGGAGAACTGCTTGTCCCTAAAGGTGGGGGACACTGTAGACTCTGCCTGGGGAGAGGCCGACAGAAGCCTGAATTTCATCGTCCTAGTGATTCCAACGACAGGGCTGAAGAACCGGAGGCTAGCTCTGCCAGAGGAATGGAGTCAAGGGCAGCCATGGAGGGGAGTGCAGGTCCCCTGGGAGGGGAGGGGAATCTGAGCCCAGAGCCAGCCTCTGACAAACCCATCTCCTGCACGGCTGCACTCTGGGTCCCAGATCCCCTCCATTCCACATCCGCTTCTGACCCAGTACCATGGCTGCCGTGACTGGAGTCCCCAGAAGCAGGCAGCTCATAAGGTCACCAGTCCTAAGTGTGCAGGGGCCGTGGGGTGCTCCCTGGCCCTTGCGGCGATGTCAGCATGAAGCTGAGGCTGACAAGTGTTGGCACCAGCTATTTCCAATTTCCAAGTCTGTCATCGCCAGGACAATCATGAGGGCTGGGGTGTGGGGCTCGCCTGTCCTCTGCACAGGCGGAAGAAGGCCCAGGGGCCCAGAACCACGCACTGGTTAACTGGGAGGGCAGTGCGAATGGAGGGACCAGCTTCTGACTCTGCTGCTTTCCACACGCTCAGCCCTGGCGCAATGGCTCCCTCCACAGTCAACTGGCCCACCATCTCGGTGGCTTCTGATGGTCCCTCAAACATCCTCACCTTAAAACTGAAGGTGGCTGATGTGCAGATCACCCTGTTCAAAGCAGGGCAGGAACACCACCTGCACATCACCCTGGCTCAGCTGTTGAGCCCAGAGCCCAGCAATGAAGAAGCGCATGGTAAGGTGAACTACGGTCTGAAGGAGTGTCTGCGGGTAGTGTTTGGGTGTGGAATCCCCTCAATTCCATGAGGCTCTCTCTGTCTGCCAAAACCCTGTCTATCTGGACAGAGAATGAGGCTGATAAACCTTCCTCCTAACACAGCTCTTGCCCCAGGCCCAGAACTTGAGCCAGCACCAGCACCACTGGCAGCTGCAGGGCCCGCGCTGGAGCCCGCGTCACCTGAGGTGGAAACCGCCCTGTCTTTCTCGTCCAAGCTGATGGCACAACAGCTGACACGCATGTATGTGGTGATCCGCTGTGCCCTGCAGGGTGGGCCGGGCAGGCCACTGTTCTAGCTTCAGACCAGACTTTCCCTGCCTGGACTCTTGACGAGCTGGGCCCAAAGTGATCCGCTGTGCCCTGCAGGGTGGGCCGGGAAGGCCACTGTTCTAGCTTCTCAGACCAGCCTTCCCTTGCCTGGACTCTTGACGAGCTGGGCCCAATGCCACCTCCATGTCCCACCAGTCTTGTGGGAGTCAACCCTCAGCTGTACTTTGGGTGGTCAAGCCAAATTCATTTTTGAAACTTGGTTCTGTGGTTTGGCGGAAAGTGACACTAAGTGACATCCTAGGTGTGGCACTGGGGTGTGAAAATATCGGCAATGTGGAAGCCCTAGGATTAAGTTCCACTGGAGCTTTCTTTTTTTTTCTTTATATATATGTTTGCCATAAGGCCCATGTCCTCAAGAGAGAAACAGAAACAGAGAGAGAGAGAGAGAGAGAGAGAGAGAGAAATCTCCCCACTTTCCTCAATTCACCTCTTCAGATGTTGTGCATATATGCCCTTAAGTCAGTGTGTTTTTCAAACCACGAGGACATGGACTCGAACCAGAGAATAAGCTATGTGGTAATCCTGGGCCTCAGCCTACATGCTCTCTGCTGGTGCTCTGGTTGGCTTGCAAGTGGGACCAAAAGATTAGAATAAGCAAAGGAACTAGTCGAAGGCACAGTACCCATGACCCTGCCCTCCAATGCACTGCAGCCTCAGCAGAGGTGGGCGGGCACCTGGCGTTTAGACCTCCATGAGCTGAACGGACCTCTACTCCCTCACGGATCACCTTCGTAGACACTGCCATGAGTAATGTTGCAACAGAGACAACTTGCACCTCTTCTCTGTCCATGTGTGGATGGCATAGAGTGATACTAACAATCTAAGAACACTGAGTGACCGAGAGAGCGCCTAAGAGAGTGCAGATAGAGCGTGGTGTGGCTGTCATATTTCGGAGTGCTTACGGAGGGGCACTGAGGTCACTTTGGCACCCACATGTTTTCCCAGGAGGCCTCCCCAGCCTCAATCCCAATTAGGCTTCCCCTGTGAACTAGCACACACCCACACAAACCCTCCAGCCGCACGTGTCACAAGACGCGCATCTCATGGTGAACAGGCACAGAGGGCCAATGAAGGCAGGCTGATGATACCACCTTGGGACATGCATAGCTGAGCCTCCTTCTCATGTGGGAGGTGGTGAGGCCAACCTAGTTGACAAGGTCACTCTCATCCCAATCAGTGCTGAATTCCTGTCACCATGAGGTGGGCATCTGCAGGGATCAGAGGGTTTATACCCCAGGGATTCCCTCAAGTCTTGAGCCACATCCAAGCTCCCTGAGCTCCAGCTCACACAACTTTCTCCTGCCTCTTCCTCTTCGCTACTGCAGACTCAGCTGTGCTGGGATGTCCTCATGGGACTCTCTCCTTCCTCCCAGGAACTTTTCAAAAAAGATATCCCCCTTGGACTTCCGGGGCTCCGTATGGACCCAGAGACTCAAGTGGGGGAAGGAGAGCATGGCGCCCACCATCTGTGCCAGCCTCGCACACTATGGGAGAGTGGTCACTGTCGTGGTAAGAACATGCCTGGGAGATCACCACATGAAAGCCCCAGACAGGGCCAGGGTGCTAGAGCACTGGGTCAGGGTGGCCAAGGTAAGTTGTGAGCCCAGGCGATTCCCTCTCTGGAAACATAGACTTGTCTCTTCTTGGTCAGCTCTCAGGTTGGAACTGGGGGGGGGGGGGTCAAAGGCCCAGGGCCCCGGCACACTCCCTAGGTTCTTCATTCAGGTCAAGTCTGACCTTGACCCTGTGCCCCAAAGTGAATGGGTGCTTCCTTCCTGGGAGCCTTTTTGTCATTAGCTGAAATCCTCCCTCTGGGGGTATAGCTCAGAAGTCCCAGGGGTACCCTCCTTTATCTCCCTGGGCATATCTCATGCAGGAGAGAGATGTCTCCTGAGAGGCTGATGCTACAACAGATGAGGCTGATTCTTTCCCTCACAGGTCATTCTCTTCCATCCCTAGGAGTGCGAAGCACTGAACAACTTATCCTCGCATCATGCCATTCTCCGTGCTCTGGAGAGCACCCCAATTCGTAGACTTGAAAGGACATGGGGAGAAGTTTCCAGGTGGGTAGGCTTCCTCTATTAGAGCACCAAGTGATCCTGGTTCTTACAGAAGTCTGGGTCTTGCCCTCTTAATGACCCTGAGATTGGGGACGGGGCAGGATGTAAAAGGCAGGAGTAGAGTGTTGGGGTGTGTTCTCTCAGCCCCCTTAGAGCCTCAGGAGTTCTGCTCAAGTCTAGGGTTCCCGCAGAGCCAGGCACAGAGTGTTGCCAAATGGGTCGAGGTCTCCAGGTATTGGTTACACGGCAATGGACTCCGCCCACGTGCAACCAACACTGTGAGAACAGCCACTCAGTCGAAATGGGGATGGGCCCACCTGACAACCTGACAGCTGTCCTTTCCGGTCC